CAAGTACTCAATTAGTTGTAGCACAAGGTGTACAACACACGGACGAAAGGACAGATGCCGAAAATTTATTGAAGAGTAAATTTCAAAAACGATACTCAATAACTATGTGTTTTCCCAAATTAGTCCCCAAAAATGATTAATTATCGAGATGCTACTCGCTAATTGAAAATAATGCCTAGTTTCGTTTCCCCGACTAACAGTCGTCAAAAAAGCGTCAAAACTTAAAACTTATACTAATTTTTTAAATTAATCATGGATGTTTTTTTTTCAAATTATTAGTCTATTTTTGATGTAAAGACTCATTTAATATGATAAGTTGAAACATGATTCTTCCCTTTTAATTGATTCATGGTGTTTGAGCAAAGTCATAAGGCCGTTTTTTATTAAATTTTGTTTCGAACTTGACTAATTTGAAATTTTTATTACTCACTCCGTTCCATAAAACCCTTCCTCTTTCGTTTTTTTCTAATTCCCTAAAACACTTCTACTTTCTATTAAAGAACCTCTGTTGCCCCCACTTTTTCATACCCTACATATCACATCATACTTTTTCACTAATAATCAAACTATTACATCTTACTTTTATCTATCCACATAGGCAAAATTGGAAAGTCAATCAAAATTACACTTTCCTTATTTTGGCTCAAAGTCAAAATAGGAAGTGTTTAATGGAACGGAGGGAATATTAGAAATGATCATTTTAAAAAATAAGTTAGTTTTAATGTTGTCTTGATACTGTTTTTACGAATGTTAGTATAAGGGACTAAACTAGGCATTATTTACAATTAACGAGTAACATCTCGATAATTAGTTCATCATAGGGACTAATTTAAGAAAACACATAGTTATTGAGTATCATTGTGAGAATTTGGTCTTTATTGAATGCGGACACCCTCACCATGATGGACTCATATTTACTCTCTACGCCTCTAAATGAATTACAATTTTTTCTCTCTCCTCTCGATAACTTTTGTTTGTTTAAACGATTTCATTAAGTAATTGATAAAATAAAATATTCTTATCACGTCTTATTTTGTAGAACTTTTGACGTAGTTTTTTAATATGTAATTTTTATATCTTATTGATATACCAATTTATAAATAAAATGATTTTAAAAAGTAGAAATTTTACTCCGTAACCCACAATTTGTAATCAAATTGGGGACGGAGGGAGTACTACATTTTTAAAATACATCTATATTAAATATAATTTTCAAAGTCAAATTTGTACAGATAGCACCAAAACATAATACTTTTCTCTAAATGGTATCAAACACGTTTTTTTTTCAAAACTAACATTAAATTAATTAAAGCACTGGAAATACCCGTGAAGCCACAGGGCTTCAAACCAGGGCTTCAAAATTTCTCTCTCTGCCACGTCAGCTTTAACTTACCTCACAGATTCAGTGGAAATGGGTTTGAAGCCCCGGGGCTTCAAACAAGACCTTCAAACCTTCATTTTTTACATTTTTAAATATACATCTTCTAAAACTAAATTAATAAAATTTAATTATTTTATTATTTAATTATATTGAAACAAGAATAATTTAAAAAAATTACATTCATTAAACTAAAAGAAATTGAAGCGAAAATAATTTAAAAAAATTACATTCATTAAATTAAAAAAAGAAATCAACAATAATAAAAAATACATTAATATTTGGCCTTAATCTCTTTTTGTCTTTCATTAATAAAAAACTAAAGTAAAAAAACTGAGGTAAAAAATACATTCCTAAAAAAAACTAAGGTAAAAAATTACACTTTCTTTTTTTTGCTTCCAACGGCTAAATAAGTCGCTATAGGAGGGGGAAGGCTGCATCAAACGTATGACGCTGATGCAATGACACCCCGAAGAAGCCCCAGGGGCGGTTTTTAACGCCTCCTGGGCTTCAAAAGGAGCATAACGCCGCTCGGCGTGATATGTATTTCCAGTGGTCTGAATTATTAATAATATCCATTTACTTAAACACTCTTGTATTTTATTTTTTTTACTCCGTATAAAATCTAGACTAATTTTATTTTTTATTAATGTTACCATTTGTAAATACAAAAATATCAAAAACCGCATCATTAGCATTTAGCAGTGGACAAAGACCCACGCGACCAGGCGGGCTGGGCACGGTGCACATGCTTATCATTATTGATACCCCGCCACATTCTCATTGTTTGCAACACCTCCGGGTCCACATTCCATTCCGCGATAAAATAAATTTTGGGTGTGTATCAATTTTTTCTGGATCGTTTTAAATAAATATTTTTATATTTTTTCTTCTAAATAACAAATGCTTATTTAAGTAATAATTTAAAATATAATTTCATAATTTAAAGTATAACTTTATAATATTTTTAAAATTCCACAAATTAACAGAAATAAAAAACTTATTTAAAGCTTATCATATTGTTGATTAAAATACTTTACATTAATATACTTTCTTGAAACATGCCCAATAAATATTAAAATCAAGAGTAGGATTCAAATCAAGTTCTTCTAGTTTTTTTTTTGAAAAACTTTTTACATGATTTTTTAGAATGTTAATTTTATATTTTATATTAATCTTTTAAAAAAATGAATTAAAAAAATATAAAATTTTCTTTTGTTTTAAATAACGTGGCAAATATGGTGGGATGGAGAAAGTAAAAAGTAAGGAGATATAAAGTGAAGAAATTAGCGAGTGACAGATGATTCCAAGATGACCAATTGGTTCATCATCAAAATCCTCTTCACAATATTCTTCCTCACACCAACAACACAAATTTCGGCATCAAACCCACCGCCGATCCAACGGCAAGTAACAGCAACGCCTCCGCCGCTGCCCGTTCTCCCCCTCCCCACTTTCTCTCAGCTCAAATGGCAGCGCCGGGAGATCATCATGTTCTTTCACTTCGGCGTCAACACATTCACCGACCGGGAATGGGGAACCGGCCAAGAGAGCCCGGCGATCTTCGACCCGGCCTCCCTAGACGCCGGCCAGTGGATGGAGACGGCGGTCCAGGCCGGAGTCTCCCTCGCCATCCTCACCGCGAAGCACCACGACGGCTTCTGCCTCTGGCCGTCGAAATACACCGACCACTCCGTTGCGGGAAGCCCGTGGAGGAACGGCGAGGGAGACGTCATTCGGGAGTTTGTGGACGCCGCCAAGGCCCGCGGCGTGGATGTGGGCTTGTACCTTTCCCCTTGGGATCGCCATGATCGTAGATATGGTCGCACCAAGGAGTATAATGAGTACTACTTGGCTCAATTGCAAGAACTTCTCAACAAGTAAGTTTATTTATGAAAAATTTACCTAAATAGGACTAAAATATAATGACTTTCTCAATATAGGACCATATGTTTTTATTTCTCAATGTAGGACATTTGGTCATTATCAAGTAGTCATTATTCAAGTAAATATCCATCATTACTGGACATTATTCCTTCCACTAAGTCATTAATAAATCCTATTTAGAGAATAAAAAAATTTAAGTTCTACATTAGGAAAGTCATTATGTTTTAATCCTATTTAGTGCAAATTTCACTTTATTTATTTGTATACTTTTACTGGTTATTTGATTCAATAAAATATTTTTGTTGTTTTTGGTTTTCTTAACTCTTCATATATTTTTGAAGAGTGTAATTTATACAAAGTATAAGGAGTATTAATTTGTAATTAAGATACTTTGAGCACTAATAAATTTGCAATTATTTGGTTTGCATCATCCGTATGGGACACGACGTGGTGAAGTTATGGAGGTGTTAGAGAAATATGGTTTGATGGAGCAAAAGGTCCAAATGCACCAAACATGACATATTACTTCAATGATTGGTTTGAAATGGTGGACGAGTTGCAGGGCAGCATTAACATATTCTCCGACGCCGGCCCCGGCATAAGATGGGTTGGGAATGAGAAAGGCTTCGCCGGAGACACTTGCTGGTCCACCATCAACCGCACCTCCCTTTCCATTGGCGACCCCACCACTCTCGAGTAAGCTCTCAGAACAATTATTTAACATTTCTTGGTTGAAATTAATATATTTTCTTAGACATTTATCATTAAACGAGTGGGTGCAGTTACCTGAGAACCGGAGACTCGAGGGGAACAGACTGGCTGCCGCCGGAATGTGACGTGTCGATCCGGCCGGGGTGGTTCTGGCATAAATCAGAAACCCCGAAGACGGTCGGAGAGCTTCTGGAGGTTTACTACAACTCCGTTGGCCGGAATTGCCTGATGCTGCTGAACGTGCCGCCCAACACAGAGGGACTAATATCCGACGCCGATGTCGTGCGACTGAAAGAGTTCAGAAGGGCAATTCAGACCATATTCTCAAAAAATCTGGCCGGAGGGTGCTCGGTGGAGGCAAGCAGCCAGAGGGGAGGGGTGAGTGGTGGGTTTGGGCCTGAAAACGTGGTGGGCGGGGACGACGACATATGGACTTATTGGGCTCCGGCGGACGAGTACACGGGCCACCATTGGATCAAGCTCGTCAGCCCGAAGAGGTTGAGATTCAATGTGGTAAGGATTCAAGAAGCGATTGGGTTGGGGCAGAGAGTGAGGCGTCACGAGGTTTACGTGGATGGAGTGAGAGTTGCGAATGGAACCACGGTGGGGTACAAGAGGTTACACCGGCTCGAGAAGGGGGTTGTGGAAGGGCGCGTCGTGACGCTCAGAATAGTCGGGTCACGGGCAACGCCTTTGATCTCCTCCTTCGCCCTCCATTTTGATCCCTTTTGGCACCCTAATAAACAACACCAAGACAAAATAGTACTCATGTGAACATTTGCATTCAAGTCATTGGACAAATGTTGGAGGGATGGATGGATGTAGTATTTGCCTATTTGAGTTTCAAACGTGTACTGCAAAAGTAAAAATAAAAATATGGTTTCAGAATATGTATACGTACAAATGCTCACCAAGTTTTACAATAGACTAATGCGCAGTCACGCTATTATAACCCATCGGTCGGTCCGCATCATCTTCTTCGCTCAGCCCATCACCCTGACTGCCCGTGTCAATCGCTGCTCTCAAGAAGAAGAAGAAGAAGCCGTGAACCCACTCCCCATGATCAATAGCGCCAAGAGATGCACAAGCCGAAATAACATTAGCCATTGTGATTTTATCTGGTATGACTTATCATCACCAGAAATCTGCATTTCATGGAACAAATCCAGAGCCTCCTTACCTCTACCGCACTGAACAAACCCTGTGATCATTGAATTCCATGTGACGATGTTCTTCTGTCATTCTCCTGAAAAGATCCATGGCGAAATAAAGTTGCTTGTTTCTCAAACACCCCACGATCCTCTCGAATTCCATGACACAATATCTCTGTCACACATTTCGTCAAACACCTGCGCTGCTTTGTCAAGAAGCCCACATCCAGAATAAAAACTGATCAATGAGTCTTGAACCATAACATCACAGTCAAATCCGAACTTGAAAACAGGTGAATGGATGCTTTGACCGGAAAAACCGGCCCTCTTAGCACATTCTTTCAACACAAAGAGCAGCGTAATAATATCTGGTGTAAACCCATCAAGTAACAATCTTTTCTACAAAATTAAAGCTTGGCGACAAGCCGGCTCACTTTTCTTGGAGGCGTGAGCTCTGATCATGGCATTGTAAGCAAACGAACTCAGGCTGGGGATGAGTCTGAAAACATTGTCGGCATAGCTGAGAGAGCCAGAGTTTGAGACAACGCAGAAGAAAATGAGGCGAGAATCTCGGTTTGAGTTCATTCATGTTCCTGCAATTGTTCAGTAGCCTTGCCAGTGTGTTCTTGAGATACACGCGTTTGGGTTCCATCTTTTTTTCCGACTTCTAATGCTAAATTGAAAATGGCTATTATAGTAACTCATCGATTCTATGAAGACAAATTGAAAAGACAAAAAATCAAAAAAAAAAAAAAAGGATAAACGAAATCTCGTAAAAGAGTGACGACTTGTAGGACTTTGTCAAAATTGTACAATGATGAGTAGTCTTCCCTACGCTGTTATTATTTCTTCACCATTTGCGAATATTCCCTCTGCCAAACATGTAGCTGTTTTGTCGATCGGAAAACCCCACTCTTCCTCCCGAGAAACGACCACCACCTCCTCTTCGATCAGGAAAGCCACCGCCTCCTCTACGATCCGGAAAGCCAGCGCCGCCTCCGCCGCGACCATATCTTCCACCACGGGATTTTTCTCTTTCTTGCAACCTCGGCAAGGATTCCACAATCTCCAGCTTTATGTCGAATTCATTTTCGGCACCTGCAAATGTATATTGAAACTAGTCCATAATTCTTTTCCAATAAAAACACCAGTTTGGCCTTGGCTCCTTTTAAATAGGTAGTGCATGAGCTTGCCTATTTAAAACACAAATCTTAGCCGAAAATGATATCCCTAAGAAAGGCAAAGTTTATCTCTCCATCAATTGTATTAAAAAAAATGACAAATGAATTACTCCCTTATTCTAATTAAAAATTAAAAAATTAGAATAAATTTATTTGTATGTCAACTGTACAAAATTTTAATTGTGCATCAACTGTTCAAATTTTTTTGTGCCCTAGAATCATATCTTAAATTTTGGGTGGCTTACGTTTAACAATAAAACGTATTGGTCAGTTGATATTTCACACAATTTTGTATAGACCTACATATAAGAATAATAAACAAATCTTTACTAGCCTTATAAACATTCTTTTTTGTAAAAAAAAATAATAAAGGAATAAAAACACTTTTGATATATAAGAAGTACACAACAAATGGTATAAAGCTTAAGGGCGATATAAGAAAATGGTACTCCCTCCGTCCGGGAAAAAACTTCCCATTTGGACTTTTCTTCATTTTTTTTGAAGGGTTGACTATGGGTGTAATTTCCCTAAAATGCCCTCCCTCTCCCTCCCCCCTCCTGACCAGCCGACAATCACCGTCCCAACCATCGCCGCTAGTACCTCCTTTGCCGCCCGTCACACCAACACTCATTTCTCCTCACCATCGCCGCCACTCAACTGCCGGCAGCCTCACCATCGGCGCAAGCCCCACCTCCACCTCCAGCCCCACCTCCATCTCCACCGTGGTGCAGATCTAAAAGAAGATGAAGAAGAAAAGGACGAAGAAATGCAGATCTAGACTCACTGTCACCGTCACCGTCGCCGTCACCGCCACAATCGCCGCCGCCATGCTCAGATCTAGAAGATGGAAGATATATAAGAAGGGAGAGAAAAAGAAGGAAAAAAAGAGGGGGAGAAAGAAGAGAAGAAGAGGGGGACTGAGGGAGAAAGAAGAGATGAGATGTACGGGGAAGAGGAAGAGACAAAGAGAAAGAAGAAGAAGAAGAGAAGAAAGAGAAGCAGAAAGAAAGAAAAACGATTGAGAAGAGAGAAAAGGGTGGGGGGACGGGACGGGTAGATCTAGGAAGGAAGTTTGAGAGGGTAAATGAAAGTGATTGATAAGGGTATTTTTGGAAGAATTGTGGTTAAAATTAGAAATGGGAAGATTATTTTCGGACGGAGGAAAACGATAAATGGGAAGATTATTTCCGGACGGAGGGAGTATAAGAAATACATGTTTATCTAGGGTGAGAGTGGAGTTGCAATAATCGAAGGGTGATATCCCCAGATAATCAAGTCCTTAAAAGGATACCTTCCGTAATTAATTATATTCATATCAATAGTCTATTTTCATATTCTGGTGGAATTAAAATCCATAAGATTGTCAATTAAACAAAAAAAATTGAATTGCATATCAAAATGATATCATCATGGGTAAAGAAGTAAAATAATGTCCAACCTAAACGGAAATATAGAAATTATTAGAGATGGCAAAATACAGACCAGATAGAAACCTGTTCACGTCTTCTGTACATACATCAAACACCGCTCCTCCATCGACCGTCAATGCAACTCCTTTGATTGATTCAACCATTGCTTCAGGTAAAAATCTTTTCAAGGAACTATACACAAATCTGGCATGGTTTTTTAATCATAAGTAAATAATCTTATCAGATAGAATCACAGTTATAGGATGTTGGCCTGCTAAGACCTTTTTTTTTTTTTTGCACCTACCCTATGGCAAAGGGCAATGCTAGGAAAACCCCACTTATGACACTACTTTTAACACTCACAAACACTTCCCCATACACCGTTATTGTATATGTGTTCGCCTTTGGTATCAAAATGGTGTTATAAGTGGGGTTTTCCAAGCCTTTTTCCTCTATGGGATAATTGGGTTGTTGTTGCGGGAAATAAAATAAGTAAATAAATATATATTTTAAATAGAAAAGAAAGAAAGAAAGAAAAACGTGAATGCTTACGAAGGAGAATACACAGGGCCTCCACTCACAAGGCGCAGAGTAACATAATTCTCCATTGAAGTAAGAAGTGAGCGCCTCTTCATCTTAGTATATCCCTGCAATTTCAAGTATTCTCACATCCCGGGAAATCTAATAATGAAAATCACCATGCAAAACATTGGACTAAACATAAAAACGGGCTTAGAAGAAACAACTCACTGAAGCTTTTGCAAGTGCCTTTGCAAGAAGTTCAACAGCAGAGAGATTAGAGGCATTCATCAAGTTCTGGGCAGCTCCTATGAAGGCTGGTATCACACTTTGCACATTCAAAATCAACTCAGAACTTGTCAATATGATACATGTGATATTTCTAAGAAAAACACAGGGAAAAAAAGAGCATTATAAATACAGATATGTATGTACCTATCAGAGATTGCCACAATTTCTTCAGCAGCTTCTCTGCCAACAATTTTGGCAACATCAGCTGGTTGTGGAGCAGCCATCATCTCAAACTTCACACCAGAATCCTTTTCGATCTTTGAAATGTTTGACTTCTTTGGATCATAAAACATGACTGCCACCCCACTATTACCTTGTGAAATGAAATGAGAACACAGCATTCCTTAGTTCCAACATTTAAGCATCTCACATTTGTTGTCAGTCTAGAACTATGAAATTCTAGATTTCAACCCAAAACCAATTGGCAATGAGATAAGTAACTCATATTCTTATATACTCCCTCCTTCCCAATGATTTTGTCCACTATTCCTTTTGGGTTGCCCCAATGTATTCGTCCACTTTCCTTATATGGTAAACTAAATATCCTATAGTGACCCTTTTGCCCCCAATTACATCTCCCTTTTTTCTCTCTCACCGTCCTCTCTTTGTGAGACTAAAAGCCACAATCTCTTCATCCATTCTCTCTCTTCTTGTTTCAATAACTTACTCTAAATCCTTCATCGTCATACTTTTCAACAGCTACCTTACTCATTAGTGACAGATGAATTGAAACTATGGATTTGGTGAAGAATGATGGTGCTGGATCCACACTTTTTCTCGATTGCAGATCTCTCCTTCAGCAAGTACAGGTGCAGCAACCTAGATCTAAGCTTTTATCGGTCGCAGGTCTGTCCTCGAGCCAAAAATCTAAAAACAATGGATCCCCAAGCTTTTCTCGCTCAGAGATCTATTCCCCGGCATCCACAGATGCAATAGCAATAGATTTAGGTTTTTCTCTGTCGAAGATGGTGCCCTCTTGTCATGATTCAATCAAATTGAAATAGATGGCGGATCCAAGTTTTCTCTTCTTTGTGTGCTGTGTTTGCACTTTATTTTTTTATTCTAGGTTCTAGATACATCTGATCTTTGAAAGATTTTTTAGTGAAATTTTCACTTGATTTGTGTTATTGATGAACAATTGATCAATAGTAAATTGAGTTGTGTCAGTGATAAGTTATTGATTAACAAAAGCATTTTTTAGTCCATATTTGACAGACGGTCAAAAATAGGGACCAGTTTGTCTAAGTAGTAAGCAAGGGTACATTGGTGATATTATATTTTCCTTGGTCCAAGAGCCAAAATGAAAGTGGACGAAAACACCAGGATGGAGGGAGTCTTACTCTTCTGAAACTGGGTATTGGTCGTGGAACTTTATATCCTCAATAGTTTACCACTTATGTACCTAATTTAATACTCTGTACATTCATAGATGGATGACTCACTTACCTGCCCTTCCAGTCCTTCCAGATCGATGAATATAATCCTCAGCATCTCGCGGAGGTTCACACTATAAATTAATTTATTAACACACACAAATTGTTAACATAAAAAATTGAAAGAAAAAAAATACTATGTACTAGAGAAACAAACCTGAATTACTAGCATAACGTCAATGTCCAATCCGCGAGCAGCCACATTCGTCGCGACTAAGGTCATAAACTGGCCTAATCTGAATCCAGAAAGTGTAACCTAAGAGCAAATAGGCCAATCATTTGAGGCAAGAAAACGCTGGAGTTATCCCACATCTAGTAAACCTCATTTCTTGAGAGCTCTTTTAGAGTGAGTTAATCCCAACAGTTATTCTTAAGAGTAAAAAAGTAACAAATTTGAGAAGCAATAAAGAACAAAAAATATACCTCACGTTGGGCCTGTTGAATATCACCATGTAAAGGACGAGCATCGGGTAACAATGAAGCAAGTTCAGAAGCATAATCCTTAGTTTCAGTGAAAACAATAGTGCGGCCTCCACTAGGAGAGATATAAAATCAAATTTCATGAAATGGAATTGGCATACACTATGTTTTCTGATATATCATTCTCTAAATAAGCAAATAACCTGCTATAGCATCGAATGATATCAGGAATGAGTTGAGACCTGGCAGAACTTGAGCAAGGAATAATAACATGTCTCACACTGGTGCTTGCCTTCATTTTATCATTTCCAACTATGTCTATAGTTTTCTTGTCTTGTTTAAGAAACTTAGATGCAATCTGGCCAAACCAAATACAGGTTTTGTTCAGAAATCTTGCCAGTTACACTAAATAGAATCATATGATGGTAAACGAACATGTTTAACCCAATCCGGCAAAGTGGCACTGAAAAGAAGTGTTTGAACTTGTCTTGGATCTTCTACTTTTCCTTCAAATTTAACAAAGAAATAGCATAGACAAATAAAGAGAACTTTAGTAATGATTATGAACAAAGTTTAAAGCAGCCAAATAAATTTTAGAACACAAAACTTCACAGGGTTTGACGAACTTAACAAATACCTAGAATAAATTCGACATCATCAACGAAACCAATTCTCAGCATTTCATCCACTTCGTCAAGAACGCGAAACTTTAAAGAGGTCAAATCAATGTTTCCCTTTTGTATGAGGTCCTGTGTAACAATATGTGAAACATAAGGATGTCTTGACTTTAACATCAGTATGATATTATCCCCGATAGTCAATTTTCCAAGGAGCATGTAACCTTGATTCGTCCAGGAGCGCCCACAATAATATCAACCCCTTTACTTAATTTAGTTTGTTGGGGAGCATAGGGAGAACTTCCATACAAACAGCAAGATGACAGACCCAATGCCCCGCCATAAAATTCAAAATCAGCAAAAACCTGTTATGCACCAGGACTTAAGAATAAGAAAACTCAAAAACACTACAAAAAAAGGAAGTAGATGTGCTTTTAAGTGAAAAAATAACCTGGAGAGCCAATTCTCTAGTTGGTAAGAGAACCAAAACACTGGGAGCTCTCCCATGACTGGTCTTCTTTGTAGTTGCATCAAGTTCATTTCGTATAGACTCCACAATTGGCAAGACAAAGGCCAAGGTTTTTCCCTGCGTTTTAAGGGAGGGAAAACAAAACAAAACAAAAAAGAACAAAAGTTATGGTTATTAACATGTAAAATTAAACAGTTGCTACTTCTGTCCCAAAAAATCATAAGCGTCACTAGAAAGAAAGATTTGTTTACCGAAATAAGTTTGTATACTGGTCCGAGTAATATTCAGTCTAGCATATATAGCATTCTAGCCAATGTAAACAATGGCAGCATGTTTCAATGATAATGTGACACTTGAGTGTGTTTTGATCATACTTTGGCATGATTTCTAACTACTGCACATATTTAATGTTAATTGCTTTGGCGCGATAGATTCGTATTGTATCTATAAAAAATGCCTAACTCCCCCACTCAATCGTTTTCTACCGCTAAGTGTTTGGGAACTTTTGATCAGATGGAATAAAAATTTGTAGCATTCCATTAGGAAATGAAATTTTGCAGTTTTGTTGAATTTGAATTCCGTCTAAATGTAATCCAATCCCATAGTTTTAACAAAACTAACTAATTCCTGGTGAAATTGCAATTGATTTTGAATGATCGAAATTGAAATTCAATTGTAGTTGATCTGCAGCATATAAACGGCCGGTGAAAAGGCAGCATACCTGACCAGTACGAGCACGGCCAACCAAATCGGAGCCATCCAAAATGGTATCGAAAGTGGTGGCTTGAATCGGAAACAGAGATTCGATTCCCCTGGCCTTCAACGCCTCCCTCAGTGGATCCGAAATCCGAAAATTGGAAACCGAATTCGACTTCTCCTCCGTACATTTCGAGCTCATCTGCTCCGCAATCCTTCACTGCTATCAAATCCATACCCTTTTTTCACCTTCTTACTTTGCCTTCTCCGCTTCATACTCCGATTTTCCCTCTCAGTTTCTCTGACTATTTCTCCACTCTATTTGTTTTTTTATTACCGCCCATTTCTAATGATCAGTTTTGTGTAGAAATTAGTTTCCCTTTGTTTCTCCAGTCATCATTCTCCCCATCTCTTTTCTCAATCCATCAGTCCCATGTATCTAAGTTACGATTATCAAAATGAATGTATCATTTCCCCTCTAACCCAAAATAAATTACACAATTACTGAATTATGTAGTAATTTTTAAATATTTTGATAATTTTTATTATATAAATTTTAGTGAATAGAGTAAAAAGATATGAAAATACAAGAATATGAATCCTAAATCTTTTTAGATCACAATATGAGTATAAGATTGCAAGTGAAATCACATCATTATAGAAATATGAAGCCATTGTGGTGAAAGAAACATTGAGTTGGGTGAAAAACAAGTGAAATCACATCATTATGGAAATAGGTTGCAAATAAATTGACGATTCAATCAAAAGTTTGCTATAGGAATAGTCTTACTTTACTTCTATCATTCAGGATTGTAAACGTCTCTTGTTTCTTTGTAACAAACGCTTTAGTTTTTGCTTTACTTGTTGCTCTCCTAATATGAGTTGGTGTACTCCCAACTTTTTACTACTTTAATTCATCAATGAGGAGTATGACTATTATTTGCTTTAACAAAAGATTGTTTGACCGCAAAGTTACTCTTCTATAGTCATAAAATCCACGTGTGACATGTGAAATATGAATCTTTGCACATTTTTCATGTGCTCGTAAGTGATATCAAAACCACGAGTTTTTCTTTTTTTTTAAACATTCAATTATTTTATGAGATCAATGACTAAGGTCCATAACACGATGATATTTGCGTGCAATCATATTTCTCTATTTTTTGTCAAAATCCAATGTATATTCTTCAAATGACAGATCTTACATTGCCGCTATTATATCAGAGTCCAGACGTCTTATGCAATTGTTTTCTCAGTGCTCTCTTTCCATTTTATTTCACGCACATCTACTTTTTTGTCTCACTCGTTAGATTCGGCTTTCCATTTCAAGTTTGAGGTTATGCAATTCATAACTTTATTCCATTTCAAGTTTCATACTCTCTTTTTCTTAAATTAAAGTGTTTGTTACTATTTACATGGTCAATGATAGAATTTAGGATTGGGTTATGGATAACTGGATTGGGTAATAAGACACTTGGGTTGAACCATATTAAAAGATTGAATCCAATCGATTAGTTAGTTCAACTCAAGAGCTTATATACCAATTAATTTTCTCACACTTTTCCGATGTGGGATGCTCTTTAACACTCCCCCTCAAGTGGACAACCGGGTCATTTTGAATCTAACCGGTTGACCACTTGCAAATGAACTCCCATTTCCTTGATTTTTTTTTATGAGCGCCAACACCTAAAGGACCACGAGCCGCTGGGTATGGGCTTCCAGACGAGCAATCGTGTTAAACAGGCTACAGGCCGTTGGGTACAATTTCCATACGGACAACTGAGCTAAAGACTAACGGGCCGCTAGGAATGAACGTCTAGACGGACACCTTAACAAACGAGGTGGGTTAAAACTGGCTCTGATACCATGATAGAATTTAGGATTGGGTTATGGATAATTGGATTGGGTAATAAGACATTTGGGTTGAACCATATTAAAAGATTGAATCCAATTGATTAGTTAGTTCAACTCAAGAGCTTATATACCAATTAATTTTCTCACACTTTTCCGATGTGGGATGCTCTTTAACAGTCAAACTTCTTACATTTTCTTTCTCTATTTTCGTTAGTCATTTGATAAAATAATATAGTCATGTCACCACTAGTTTTGTAAATCTTTTGATATAGTTTTTAAATATATATAATTCGTAATTTTTATTTTTTAATTCTACACCATTTTTCATATGAAATAATTTTAAAATAACTTTGGTTAAATATCGTGAATCAAAACATGCAATTTAAATCGGGACGGAGGGAGTAATATATATACTTTCTCCGTCCCGGAGTATTTATTCACTTTTGATTTTTTGGTCAAAATTGGTAAATTGCGACCTCAAGTTAAATAAATATGATATTAGATATTTGTACAAAAATAATTTTATTAAATTTCTTATATAAAATATTTTCAAAATATTATTTTATCTAATTATTATACTCCAAATAATATATATTTTATTTAATTATAGGTCAAAGATTTAAAACAATTGACAGAAAAAAGTCAAAATTAGACAAGTTATCTTGCTTTCAACAAAAACAAACCTAATTATATGAAATATTAACTAAACACTCCTTATAAATAGGGGTGAGCAAAAACACCGGCACAACAATGTTCCGAACCAGACCGACATTGTACCGTACCAAAAAGCGGATTCTCAACTGATTCTAGTAAATAATATTCGAACCGAACCGTTTTCAAAATGGTACAGAATGAGTTTCCAAAAAAATAAATATCGAAAATACCAAACCGTTATCACTAAAATAATAAATTAATAAATTAATTATATATTTTCATTTGTTAATTTTTTTCTCCGTAGTAAGTTTAGATGATATTTATTTGGTGTGACTTTTACATACTTACACTTATGCTTTTATAATACTTTATTACATCTAAGTACAACTCGAGTTATAATTTTATTTGTTAAAAATGTGAACTATGATTAAATTTTTAAAAAAATGTAACTAAGCAATACACATGTTGAGTAAAAGACTAAGAATGCATAAAAAATATTTGTGCACCAATATTTTTAATTACATCGGCTATTTGTCATAAATAAAAATAGAAATATTTGCACTAAGTAGAACTAAAACTTAAGTCATTTCCTTAAATAGCACTTAAACGGTTTTATTCCCTAAATAGCATGCACTTAATAATATCCAATTATTCATAATGTTCAGTGATGTCGAAAATTTACTTGAATAATGACTAATGAATAATGACTAAAACTGCTACACTGTGAAAAAAAATGTAATGCTATTCAGGAAAAGTCATTATGTTTTAGTGTTATTTACACAAATTCCCCATAAAAATATTTTTAAAGCATCAAAGTATTATGGAATTGTTTGACATTAGTATAACATGGTATCATTCCGTTATCGAACGTCATGGTATCGAATGGGTTTAATCGTAAAACCAAAACTGCATCGAACCGTTTCAATAGTAACAATATGGAACGGATTTTTTAAAAATATTGTATCGTTACAAACCTTGTCCACCTCTACTTATAAATCATTTACTATAATAAAGGAGACTCTGATTCACAAGAATTCGACATTTAGCGTGCTTATTTGGCAAAATTTTAACATGTCAGCGCCACACAATCTTTTTCTATAATATTTGAGACTTATGTCTCCAAGAAGTTGACATGTATCATCTTACATGACAATTTTTAAATGACATGGCATATGAATAAATTACATGACATGCTTTAAATTCTCATTCATCATTTATAGAAATTTATTTATGATAACCATTAAAATATGATGAGTTTAAAACAATATATTTTATATTGAAAAAATATGGACTTTCTCATTTATTGAAAATTATGTAATTGAAATAAATGTAATTTTTCAACAAAAATTAAATAAATTAATCATAAAATATAAACTAATCATGATTAGCCTAGGTCTTTTTTCATAAAAATAAAAATCATTCTAAAAGTCTTTAGAGTACAATATAGTTTTTTAAAAATTATTAATTTATTCTTTTGTATGGAAATTTATTGAGCTAAAATATACTTTGGAATAGCTCATACTATACCACTAATTAAAGATGATAAATTTATTAAATAAATTTAGTGCATTATGGGTTTATATATATTAGATAATTTTTTATATCAAAACTTTGTGGTTTAATGTATTCAATAACATTTTTAATAATTAAAATTTCCTTAAATATATAATAGGGAGTATAAAAAATCTATCAAGATTTGATTTTTTTTGATATATTATATATATTTACATCACAGTATTGATAGTCTGTAAAAGTATGTATTTAAGATATAGACAGTGTTTATAAATGATAAAACTTTTGTTTTTTAAATGAAAGTATTTTCATAAAAAAAATATAAATTTTAAAAAGAATTGTTTTCATCCTCTTTATTAGTAGGACTTTTTCAGTCTTAATTTTTCTTTATTGGAACATAATTTTCATAGAGAAAATATATATTAGTAAAAATAGATAATTGAAAAAAATATAATCTTGATATTCATATATTTATAGATTCAAGTATCGAATGACAACGTATATTTTTGGATAGAATATATTAAAATAGTTCCAGTGCTCTAAATGGTTTGAAAAAAGGTATGAATACCTCATTTACTTTCAAAACTTATTTAAAAATGTCTATCATTTCAAAAGGTTACACACGTGCCACATCGGTTGGTACTATTTTTCCGTTCATTTTTTATTAAAAAGGGTGCATTGATACGCGCTCCAATCAACATGTGCCATCAAACAAAGGAGCTTGAAAACTGAATTGATCCAACAAGCAAGTCTGATCATATGGGATGAAGTATGCAAGATGAATAGATTTCCTTTTGAGGCTTTGGATCGGACAATGAGAGATATCATGAGGTTCTCTAATAGTAACTAAAGAAATGAACCATTTGGAGGAAAAACAATTATACTCGGAGGTGACTCTCGGTAGATCCTTCCAATTTTACCTAGAGTTTCGAGAGAGAAAATTGTAAGTGCTACAGTCAATTCCTCACATTTGTGGTCGTACTGTAAAGTTTATACGTTGACCAGGAATATGAGACTGCACTCATCCATGTCTTCTTGCACAGATAGGGATACACAGCTTTTTCTAATTGGATAATCAAAATGGGTGATAGAAAGCTAGGTCAGGTTATGGATGGAGTTAGTGATGTTGACATTCCACCCGAATTCTTAATTCTTGATACAAGTTCTCATATCAAAAGTATATACAGTAGACTTCACTTATACAAATATATTAGAGAATATGAAAAAAAAATCAAGGATAGAGCAATATTAGCACTAACTCTCAAAATAGTTGAAATGATAAATGAATTTGTCCTATCCCTCATTCCTGGTGATGAAA